ATATTATACATTTATTCTGGGAGTCAAATATCTAGGGTGTTTTCAAAGGTGAGAAACGCTTCCGATTCTGCTAAATACAAAAATTTAAGAAGTCAACACAGAAACCGTTCGCCTATGGTGGGTATTTGGCGAAAAATCGGGCTTTTTTCACTTACAAAATGAAGTCATCTGTTGTGCATGGAAGTGCACCACTCTGTGGCGTTGCTGTACAAGGCCAGCAACAATGAATCACGGTCAATGCGTTTGTCCTAAAGACATTCTTCGAAACGTATTGCCAGCGAAGAGGAACAAAGCTTAAAACTAGGCGGTCTAAGGCCACACGAAAGACGTGAAAAACTCAAACCGGCGATCTGGATCGAATAACTCCACCTTTTGGTATTTCCGGAACGCACACGGTCTGCAACTGAATCTTATTGCAGTTTTTCCGACAGACTTCTGCAAGCTTTTTTCCTCCTGTTTCAGTCAGATATGCTGTTAAGATGAAGATAAATAGTCGGTCACGGGAAATATCAAGGGTGATCGGGTGAATAGATACAAGTTCAAGTTAAAGCTGGAATGATGGTAACTAGATCTACTTTTCGTCTTCCTTTGCGCGTCAGAATCCGTGCCTTGTACGGTGAATAATCACCAGCTTATTCCATGAAATTTTGTCGACTGAATAGATTTCTCATCGTCATTATTTTTGAGATAATTTATTCGTGTTGAGCAGTCACTCCCCACTGAAGAAATAAAAGGTTGCTTACTGGGTCAACTAAGATGAAATCAGTATCTATATCTGTGTACCAGTGAATTCTTTCATGTTTTTCAGGATTATATAGATATATTTTTATAGAATAAATATAAGCATTAGACTATTAAGGTTGAAGACGCTAAATTCACGTCAGCCTATGTTTTCGACACGCAGTTGAAACTGTGAACGCCACCGAAACAAAGATATCGAACCTCCCCAATATCGGTTAATATTTTTACTTCTTGGAATGAGACCCGGCTATAGGAACGGTTTTAATACCATTCAAGCACTGAATTGAATTTTTTACTATCCCGTAATTTCCGACCTTAATCCTCCGATAATTCCTACGGTATATGAATATTGATTACCAGTCTTCTAGAAAACTAGATTTCTTTCTATAAATTCATCCTTCTAGTGTTGTGTGAAAAATTTCGAACCGTTTACCCTTTATAAATATAAACAATGTGTACACAATGGATAACCTTATAGTTGTCAGAGCTTTGATATTAATTTTCATTAGCGAAACACTGACATGCAGTAAAAACCGACTGCTCTACTGCCTGAACAATAAATTGTTCGGTATTCTTGAGAAAAGATGAATCAAAGCAGACGTGAATTCTTCCTTTTGTATACTAGTCTCTGCTGAGGAAACCTTACCCCCGTGCGGCAGTATTTTCCCACCAAACTGAAAGTCAGTACCCGGGCTACAAGCTTTTTGGTGAACCGCCGACAACACATTGAGAGGAGTAAGAGAAAAACTCATTTGGAACCAACGAAGCAGAGGTGTACAAACCATACCCACATCTTTCTGATTCTGGCAGTAATCATTAGGCATCGGAGTGGACACCACGAACGTTTTATCCCGGCCAAAGGGCAAATGAACCGATGAACTAGATACCGGTGCGCAATGGACTGCAGTTTTCATACCGCTCCTCTGTCTTACGTACCAGGCTTTGGCTAGCCGACTGCCTCGGTTGTAAGTCCCTAATTAACACTCACCTTCTTTGGACTAGGTAACGTGGTTGCATTCGGCCCATAAGGAAATCATGCACTGATTTCTTCGAGATGGAGATTTTTGTACCGCCATATGTTTGCAATCTGGATTTGGACAGGTATGAAATCTATTATTAATGATATTAGAATAAAAATTGCTCAAAGAAGTGGTCGACCTTAGAAATTCAGCACTGATATCCTAACTCAACCAAATGCAACTCGAACTGTTTACACTCTATCATAAAATGTGTTGAGCGAACTAGGTTAGTGAGTTGCTTGAGAAATTTAATTGGCCACCTTGAAACTAAAATCGTGATTGATTAAACATCACAGGATTGATTTGGTGCAGTGAGCATTTCGTTATCAAACCCAACCGAAATTACTATTCATCATTTTCACAGCGGTGAATGTGCGATAGATTGGTCACTAGTTGTCATTACTTTACCCATTGCCTATTGTAATGCAAAATTGTCTGGGTCCCCAATGTTTGGTACAAGAAATAAATACGAGCTTGGTAGTTAAACTGGAAACCACCAAGTTACCAAAACTAAACTACATTATATACCTCCGGATTTTCAACCGGAGCCGTCGGATAGCTAACGCCTGACCACAAACCCAGTTAGGTACTTTATGGGAACGGCAGTCACTGGGAACCGGTGTTCAGTCAGTCGGAGACTATGGTATTGAGATGCATTGCACTCACTCGGGCTGTCCAATAAGCCCTATCGTCCAAATGAATCAATGACTGTCGAGATCGAGATGTTAATTGATGCGCCTCATTTTCGGCTCCCTTAGATGAGGTATTTTCCCGTGGCTCGATTATGCTTGGGTCAATGATAGTGGCTTTTCGCAGTCGCCCTGTGGTAAAAATATCACCATTGAAAGATGATTTAAGAAACGCCTCGATTGGAGCATTTATTTATGCAAGAGAGAGGCCTTATCCACACTTGAAAAAAACGGGACTTATTTTGTAATGTGCTGCAAAACTGCATCTTGTTTCTTTCCATTTAGTTCGGTTTCCTTCAGATCTAGTTGGTGTATTCGTTGTAACAACCGGATTCATTTATGTATAAGAAAAATCCAAAGACTAACAGGGATGGAGAAACAACACGCCTTTTTTAAACATTATTATCAAATATACAAATAGAGCTTATCTATTGATGATCTACTTATATAAATACCTGATTATTTACTTCTTGCAATCCCACTCTATATGGATTTTCTATCTTTTCTTTGACTCTGCTCCCAGCATTCCAATTTTTCTTCTGCTCTTTTATCTAGATTGGCAGCCAAAAAGACAGCAATCAAATGCATGAAAATGCATGGTTCAAAGCTGTTAAATCTGAAACTGAACTTCGCCTCCTGTCCCAAGTTGTCCATTTTAAAACACCGGTTGTTTGAAATGCGCATCAAATTTACAAGACAATTTCAGGGGTTACGTAATGCACTCTTCATTTCATTGAGTCAAGGAGCATAAGCATTCAGACCTGCTCTAGACTAGTTCGTTTTGCACCTGACCGAAGGCTTTGATAGTGAATATCCCTCTGAGTTCTTCTTCTGTGCAGCTCAGATCCCTCTGTGGGCCAATGTTTCGATCTACTGGTTAGGCACTCCGTGACCTGGACAATGGTGGGCATTACAAGTAAATGCAAGCATTGTAGAGGACTTCCCGTTGTTCGTTTTAGAAATTAATATGAATTTCCAAACGCCAAGAAATACCCGTCGCTTTGGGTCAGTTCTCCCGTTACTAGGGTTCACTGTTAAAACAATAACCAAAAAACTTTTCACTCTTCTCTTGTTGGAGTGCACTGGTGTAGTTTATTAAAATTCCGTTTCAAACTAAGCTAGTAGTTTAAAGAACAACGTGAAACAGATGGTAACGCTGATTGGTGTGAGGACACCTATCCTGAGATATAATTATCGTGGCGTCAGTCCACTGTTCCACCCGGTGCACATGAACTTCAAGAATAGTAAAATGGCTTATTTTAAAAACATGAGGAACCATAATCTTACAACGAAAGAATTTATTTCTACTGAAAATTTCGAGATTAGTAGACCACGGTGTGTAGCGAATGGTCAACAAAGTATAACGGTTAACGAAACAAGTTGCTAATAATGTGGAACGATTGTAGCTCGGGATGTGGATGTTGTTCTTGGTGTTCTCCGAGCTGGACGTGTTGTTAGCAGAACACACCAACATTAACAAACAAGTTATCCTCGTGTCATATCAATTGTATTGGCTTTGAACGGTACAAACTAAATGGCGAATAACTCAACCTTTTACGATCCCAGTAATGCACTTCTGTGAGGTTTTGTCCAACCGTCCAAACACGAGAGACGATTCTATTCTATCTCAACCTAAAAGCAGATACACCATCTAAATGCCGTAAAAGTTGTCTTCGGGTCACCAATGGCCAAAAACAAGCGTAACTGCAGGTAGAATCAAGTTTGTGCCTGTGGGAAATAAACTTATTCCGCTCATAAGGGAGGGTAGAAGTTAGTCTTTGGTTTGAGACTAAAAGTGCTAAGGCTGCCAACTAGGTTAGTCAAAGTGAAAGTCAACTAGTTTCGAGTGAAGGAACAAAATGTGTACTCATGACAGGAAAAATAAACTTGGTAGAGGAACCAAACTAGACTCCATTTGTTAATTTCATAACCCCCCACTATCTACTAACTCATCTGAAAAAGGAACAACAAATCACTTGAGGGACTCACCACAGATTGTCAGTCTTAAATGTACCTCCACGATCACAAAAATGCTTCAGAGGATTCAGTTACAGCAGTCGGTTCGGTGCGTTCTCATTTGTTGTCGGTATGGAACAGACCACCAAAATGCCCATAATTCCGGTTTCCAACGAAGCTCAAATATTCACCGAGCAGAGGGGATTTGCGGTTCCCCCAAATCAAACAATACAGGTCCAACGGTTGCACGTATACACTGAATAAATTGTCCGTACATGGTTTGACACGATGGGCTGAGCATCCAAACAGCGTATACGCGCACAGAGCTGACTTACGAGTGATAAACACCGCTGATGAGCAAGGAGATTGCACTGTGATCCAGGAGCAGCTTGGCTTGGGTCGCTGTGCAAGTTCAACTCGCACTTGTAGTTCTTAATTGATAGGATGTCGAAATCGATAGAAAGACCCTAACAACACTGCTTGGTATGACTGAACTCCTTTCCTTACATTATCGCTGTTGAACACGATCCTAAGGGTGAGATTCTCGGTTCATGATTCTCAATCACTGAGTTGATGGATGCAAGACTATCATGCAAACCGTTCGTCTGGAGCAACGTCTAAGTTAACTCCAAACATTGGCTGGTCGTCCGCATACTCGCCTAGATTGCCAATTCAGTGGTTTTTAAAATTCTTTAGTCATTAGGCGGGTAAACGAAAACGGCACGGTTCCTTATCAGGAAATGAAAGACTATACTGCATAACGATCGAACCCCCATGAAAAGGCAGACAAACAGAGTTACCGATTTTTCAAAATATATTACTAAAACCATGAAAACAAGGGATATTTGTACATGCAGAATGACATGCGGGCGAACAAACAAAGGGATCCATGCGGAGTTCAGGTGCCGGGTGATCATAGCTCGTCCTTGGCTTCTGTAGGAGTTTCAGCCTATTTAGATCAAAGAAGAAAGTGTGAGTATCATTCAAAGCAAAAACATGCGGGCGTGCTAGGCTAAAGCATGCTCTTACCTGTTCATCAGTTGCAGATGAATTACTCTCAGCTTCCGTCTTTTTATTTTCGACTGAATCAGCTTCTTTCTTCTGGAAAGACAGATTACTGACTGAAAGTTAACTTACCTCTTCAGAATCTTCGTCATTCACTTTGGTTTCGTTATCAGCAGGCTCATCCAGCTCTTCTAATTCCTCCTCCACCTTTTCATTTTCATCCACTGCCAGGTTCTTTCTCATGACAAGTTCAATTTTATTTGCAAAATCAACAGAATCTTGGACTGTGTACCCAGATCTCAGGGTTGCCAGATAGAACAGCAGCTCAGCTGTTTGCTTAGCTTCTTTGTCTGCAACATCTGCTTTCACGCGGTTATTCAGCTCTTTTATCAACGGATGTCTGGGATTGATTTCTAGGGTTTTGGGCATTTTCCAGTAGAAGTCAGAAGAAGAATCATCTCCCTTGTGATGAGCCTGAGCGCGCAGAATACGCTCCATGTTGCCAGACCAACCGTAAGTACCGGCCACGAGAGCACATGGGCTTTCGGACAGACGTTCAGATAACTCGGCTTTCTCGATTAATCCCTTTAGCGCTTCTTCCTTCATCCACTTCAGGAGAGTCTCATATTCCTTGGTCTGAGCTACACGCAACGCCTTGGATTTCTCCGACGTATCAAGCACGACGCCTTCTTTTGCCACACTCTGTAGAGGTTTACCATCAAATTCATTGAAGCTTTGAACCAAGTACTCATCCAAGGGGTCAATCATGTAAATAACCTCTATGC